AAAAGTGAGTACTATATACTTCTTGCAAAATACGCATTTCTTAAAAGCTGAGAATCATTTAGAAATTGCTTAGAGAAAACACCTCCCTTGAAACTATGGAGGGTATTTCAAGCTAATCTCACCATCATCATTTGTTCTTCATCTTCAGAGTAGACTGGCCAGCTCAGGATTCCCACACTCTATCCTCAAACCCTCTCTAGTTCCAGTGGTGGAATATCAGATCTCCAGGCCTCTTGTAGTACTGGGTTTGGCTGGGTTCATCTGAGCACAGTCAAAGCAGGAATTAAAACTAAACCCAGCAAGTAACTATAGCAAGTCTATGATCCAATATAAGATTTCACTTCTTGTTTCTCGTTTCCTATACAATCCACTTCTGATTAAAACCGGACAAAAAACAAATTTCAGTCCACCACCAATGGCTTGGGGACAGAGTGGATTAATTACCATGAACTTCTACACAGATTTCACAGTCTGGTACCACCAGGTCACTGAGGTAGCTTGCAAGGCTAGAGCACCATTACATGTTGCCTCTAGGGCAAGGTGTGGCTCCTGGCAGAAGCAGCACTGGTGTTTACACTGCTGTCAGTGCATTTAGGAAATTGTCCTTCACCCCTGCAGCACTGGCCATGTCTTAAGAGAGGATGTAATTTCCCAGCTGTAATCTCCATAAGCGTTTCTGAGTTGCACTTTAATGCCATGCCTGTAAACACTGATGCCAAAGAACAACTTAAACTAAGAAATAATGGGGCAAACGTTGGCCCATATATCGAATTCCCTTTTTTTTATCTTGCAGAGTAGCACTGCACACAAAAAGAGCTCTGCAACTCAAGTAAATGATCAGCAAAGAGCACCCCAGTGACACTCTGACAGTAATCTCTCAAGGTTCAATGTGCCACTGCTGCTACACAACTGGAAGGTGAAAAATTCTAGTCTCCTTTCACAACAAACTGCTTTCCTCTCTAACTTCACATATGTTTGCACAGCCTGCTGCTGCTCCTAAATTGAATTTGGAGTTGATTCTTGGACATTTCCAAAAAAACACCCCATAAAAACTATTAAAAAAAAAAAATCATCAAGGTTTATACAATCTCCATCTGAAGGTGCAGTTCACCTGGACTTCAACTGAAGTAATTACTGGAACATGAGATAGGAAGGATGCTAGACCTTCAGTGGTGGAAATACTTGGCAATTTTTGAGAATGGCTAGAAACTAGCCAGGACCAAAAGCTATGGCAGCTTGTATGATCATCTCCAGAACTCTAACACAATACACAACAGGAGGGGCATGACACGACCAAACTAAATCTGCTCCCTTCAGTCCTACTAAACCAGAGAGAAAAATTGTCCCAAAATTATAAACCTTGGATTCAGGTATGAAATAAGGTATATGGAGGTTTTGGCACCAGTAATTGCTTTGACTTAATATGCTAAGACAACCTGAAGAAGTGACCACAGGATCCAGACAGGTTTATTGCCCCCCTCCCAGTCTCTTCTAGCATAGACAAGAGCAGCAGATATTAACCATTATAAATTTCCACATAAAAAACCCAATAAAAAAATAGTAGTACCTGTAAGAACTTATCCATAAGGGAATATTTCCAAATGAACTATGAATCTATTTCTGAAGTACAACAGCTATTTTGATTTCGCTCCCCATCTGCACACTCCCCTTTCACATTAAGAATTCCTCCTTGCAGTTCAGCGTCTGAAGCGATTATGCCTAAACCACATGACAGCCTTCTTGGTGTGGAAAAAGAGTGTTGATCACAGCAGGGGCAGACTGGTGGTTTCAAGCCCATGACTCCCAGCTAGCTGTCTGAACCAATAAACCTGAGAAGAAACCTTTCTCCTGCATCAAAAAGGTAAGTAGCGACAGACCTACTGGATGCTCCTAGAAATTTCTGTCATACACATGCATATAAACACAAAGGTCAAATTATCTCTTTCAAGGTGATGCAGAGATTTCATTACTTTGAAAATGATAGAATCCAGTGGAGGTGAATCCTTATGAGATGGAGTGGTCAAGTGAAACACATTGTTTTATTCATGATGAGATCGTGACTGCATTACCAAAAATATCTGTGGGTTTCTTCTCAGCATTTTCCCTACCTGTGCTGCTCTGGTTTAAACTGGGCCTCCTGTTACTTTGTTTCCCAGCCTTTCTCTCTTTCAGCCTCTGAAAATGAAGCCAGCCAGTTGGATTCCTGAATGCTTGATTTGATGACTCAGTGCTCAGGACACAGACCCGACCATACAGTCCCGGTGTGAAGTCACAGGTATTTTGGGGCCAGCTGGGTCTGATGTAGTAAAATGGCACCAGACTTACTTACCAAGACACAGAGAAAGAACAGAGGAGACTGGAAATCTAGGACAGAAATCTGAGTATTGGAGCCTCAACATTCCAACCTTTCCTGCAGCTTACCTGATAAATGACCCTCAGCTGATCATGTAGTTCTTCAAAGCCACTGTTCTGTCATCTGACTCACAAGAGTGTTGGGAAACATGAGTAACTTATGTGCCCACCGATACACAGAATAGCATTGGTGGGCTTCCAGAGACACCTGAAGCACTCAGACCTTCAAAAATCTTAGAGAGCATCAGGAAATGATGTGAGTATATGTTCTTCTTTGCAGCGTGATGACCTGGTGGAGCTTGGGTTAAGTAGGAGAACTCTGGAGTAGTTTAAATATCTTCCTTTGGCCCTCTTCACTCTGCACAAGCCCTCTAGTCCCCTGGTGCTTCTCCAGTCCTGTACCCTCCCTACACACTCTGCAATTCACATTAGCACTTGGAAGTTCAGTGCTGTTTGAACTCCAAACATCTGCCACCAAATTATTTCTCTCTCCCAGTTCACTGAGCAGACATTCTGCATCACTGAACTACAGAGTTTATCCACTGACAACAGGCTGATCATGCCAGTGCCAACCTTTCACAGATAAAGTGCACTTATGTGAGGGGAAGCACCCAGAGCACTGCAAAAAAAGAAAGAGGGTGGTTCTTCTGATAAATACAGGGAGTTCCTCCCCCAGCTCCAAAAGACCCCCAAAGCAGGTATCTGATACAGTAAGTGGTCCATCAAATTGAGCCAGCCTCTAAGTGACAGTGAAAAGCCTTCGGCAGGCACAGATGTGCACGTTGTGCATGCAACAAATTGATTAAGGTCCATGCTGTCACAAGGAAGAGTCAATCAATCCAGAAGGGCTGGTTGCTAATTTTTAGCCAGGAGGAAGCTTCCCTGCTGTGTAGGGAATTATGCAAGCCTGAATCTACAGGCATGCTTTTCCTTTGTTCATTGGCAGAGCAATGGGTGTACGGAATACTGCTTTTAAGTGTCCCTTTACTGATTTAAATTAGGGGAGAAAATAATCTAAAGTGCTCATGACATCTACATGAATGCAAAATGAACTCATCATGATTGGCATTATTACAATGAACAGCAAATCCCTTCATAATGGCAGGACATTTAAGAAGTAATGTGCTACTGGATCCCTTGTCTATAAAAGCAATAATAAGGAAATGGCTATGTCACATATATTTAAGAGGAACTAAGCTACTGGCAAACTGCTGTTTCAAAGACTCAAAAGAGAAATGCAAATGCTTTTGTTTTTTAGCACCTCAGCTGCACAATTATTGTTGCTCTGTACTTAATGGATCTTTTCCTCGTCTCTGAATCTGTGCCATGTAGACCACTTTACAGTGCTGAAATGTTCCCTATAGGGTGCTTGCTACTGCAGTATCCAACCTCATTTTCAGACATCTGAAAACAGAGGCTTTCAACCATTCCATTGAAAAATTTCAACCATTCCCTTGAAAAATTTTATGCTGTCTCAGAAAGGTTAAGGGTTGGAACAGGCACCTGTAATTCAACCCAAATCTCATTTCTCTGTTCATCTACAATCAGGATTAGAAGACACCTAAGGCACACGAGTTTTATCTCTACTGTTACATCAAACCATCCAGCAAAGATCAAATTCATCTCACTGAAGGCAAAGCACTGGTTACCATGAAGCACACTTAAGTGCAAAAAATGTGAAGAGAGTGTGCAAGTGTGCATGTACAGAGCAGTAAGGAAAAAGGTATTTCCTGGGACAAATATTCAGACTTCCCATGGAAATGCCATATCTATGACAGTCAATAATGGCTGTAACCAAATCACACCAGCAGCAGAAGTTGCATCAACATTTGACAATTCCTTTCTTCCATATCCCTCTGATGGAAGATTAAAAGCATCTCAGGTAGTTAACTATTCATCCCAACAACTCAGGGCAAAAATACCCAGCAGGAAGCAGAGCACCTGGGAACTGTTGAAGTAAATGAGTGCAGCATTACTGAAAAACAGGTGTTTTATTGGTCAGTGCCACCACTGCTAATTTTGGCTCAGTGCCTCTAGCACTTTATTAAATACCCATGATCCACAGTAAAACATCTCTTTTTCCTATTCTTCTTATGTTGTCCCTTACCTTCTCCCTGTCCCTGTCCTTTTTTTAACACATACAGGCCATAGCAGGGTGATAGAGTTACATTGTAAGCTTGCCTTATAAATTGAAAAGTATCTAGAGACTCTACTTTTGTGCTTGAAATGAGAAGAACCATTTGCTGGTGCTGTCTTAAGTTGATGCTCCTGAGAATGCTTTGACAATAAAAACATTTATAACGTCAGTGATTTTATTTTAAAAAAATAAAAGCTCAGATGCTAGGAACAAATAGGTTGGAGCTCTTGTACACAAAAGCAATCTTTGTAATCAGTGTCATTAAGTTTCTATGAAAGCTAGCAGTGCTTGTGTTTTAAGCTGCTTGTGGAAATAGATGACAAGGAAGAAGTTGTTCCTATGTGCTTTTAAAATATGACTCCTTTTACAATCAATTTTACAAGAACTGGGTAAGTTAGCTTGAAAACACCTCATATTTGTTGGAAGATGCTAATAGAAAAAAGGCTCTCATTCAGCACCTCTGCTTTTGTGCTTTCACTTTACTTCAACAAACATAAATGTTTTTGCAGTAAATTTTCTCATTCCATCCAAGCTGTATACCAAGCCCAAAAAGACACCATTGTATTTTCTAAAAAGGGAATGAGAAAGTAACCAAGAAATTCATTTGCAGGCTGTGGACTGGCTGCTATTGCTCAATAATATGCAAAACTACTGCTATAGTGAATTTGTAAAAAGGGTATCCTGCTTCACACTTTTTCTGCTGGCTTCCAAACCCTGTGTAAAAGAAAACAACAAATTACACAGTTTTCTTGCCATGTTCTGAAACAAAGCCATAAAGCTACCCTGCTCCATTTCTGAAGACCTAAGTCAATGGGAAGAAACCAAATCTGACTTTTCACTCCACCTTGGCAGAGAATAACAGTGACCTTTCCAGAAATGGCCCAAGTGTCCAGCTAAGCCCAAACTGTGGGGCTTCCACACTGAGGTATATTTCTCCTGTTGTCTCTGCCCCACCTTTGGATGCAAAGGGACAATCATAAAATTCTTGGGTTTTGGTCAGACAATCTTTGCAAGATGCAATTTTCCCTTTTTCAGAGACCAGATCCACTACTGAGGCAATGAAGTGCAGGCAAGAGAGGCTCCTTCCTAAGTGCAACCAAAAAAAAACCTGTGCAGTGGCAGCCTTCACCACAGACAGGCACCAAGAGTAGTGTATCACACTAAAACTGCAAATGTTGCAGAGTCAAATTGCTAAAAAGGAAGCTATTAGAAATTTTTAAAAAGGGAAAAAAGTCAACTTGGAAATCCTGCCATATATTGAGGTTGGAAGTCAAATTATGATAGTCTGAAAAGTTCCGTTTTTCAAACACAAGAATATTCTACAATGTTGCAACCCAACTACAACAGTAGCTGAGTACGTATTTTGCACATTTTCCCCCAAATCTGTCTTACCGTGACAGTAAAACCAGTGGAAAAAAAATCTAAACACTAGACATGTATCCTTCCAGTAACAGCCTTCCCTCTGCTTTGTTGCATACAAGCAGGCAGTAAAACACTGACAGGAGAACATCCAACAGTACACAAGACACAGATAATAAAAGTGCTGTCTCCAAAGAGCTTGACAGGCAAAAAAGTGATACTGTGAAAGCCACAAAAGAACCCAAAGGAGACCAGGGTGATGTGACTGCTGGTGTAACTCACAGAGGGCCCTGAGAGCAGAAGGCAGTCAGGCAGTTTGGTACATCACTTGTCTTATGAGACAGTCCACACCCTCCCATCCTGCATTACCATTCAATCACTCTTCTGGTTCTGACCAGGCTAGAATGCATTTGAACAGGTATCTCAGACTCTGTGTTCCATGCAGAGATCTTTCTGGATAAGTATGCTTTGGCTGAATTAAGGTCCAGTGCAGCAGCATCAGATAAAATTCCCAGCCTTGATTTCTGAGGACATCAGGAGGGATGGTCTGACTGTCACTTCTAACATTAACATGTGGTAACTCACTGAAATCATGCTATTTTCGTTTACTATTCTTACGACTGCAATTCAGTGGTGTCTTTATACTCCCTTTATTCTAAAGAAGCACTGCTTAACAAAGAGTAGTGGAATTAATTTGCCTTCGCATTGAAATAATAAGTTAAATCATGAACAACATTCTGGTACTCAAGCAAATGATGAGGCAATGTATAGAGCTTTCAGAGGAAAGAAACATGTTCAATGTTTTTGTTTACTTACTCAAAGGGAATATTATCTCTGCTGATACTAACTCTGACCTGGCTTACCTACACTGAAAATAGCATTTGGCAAGTGAGACTTTTGTAAAAACAGACATAACAGCAGTATTTTAGGAGGAAGAAAGCGAGAACCTCCAAAATGTGTAATTGAGGTTTAGAAGTAGTGAGAAGTTGTACTGGCTCTCAATTCCTTCCACTATCACAAATGAACCCCTTCATCATAGTCTTTTATATTTAGTCTGCTTTAACAAGGAGAGGACGAGCAGATACAGCAGCATAACTGAAATTCTGTTATACCTGCAACTGGCTAAAAGAAAGTGATCAAGACTTTGTGGCCAGAAGAGCTCTTCCCATGATGTCCCTATCCAGAAATATGAAAGTCCTATTTGCGACTGCACTGAGACACAGCAGTATATTAAAAACTTTTAAAAGAGTTGATTTTTTCAGCTATACAGCTGCTTCACTTAACTGACAACTCATTGTGGCCTTTAAGAAAGGTGTTTTGGGGAAAAAGAGAAACTATTACTCTCCCTTGCACAAGAAATGTTACTGCAAGCTCTCCTCCACTCAGGGCTCTTCTGCCTTATCACTAACATGCTTATCTGCTTAGACTGTAAGATATATAAGTTAAATGAGCTGCCTATCAAAAAGCATTCATTTGGCATAGGGACAACCTTGTGCTCTAAATTTTCACCAAGTCCAGCAAAGCAATGTTCTCAGACATGCCACCCTTCTCCTGGCTCAAACCATAAATTAATAACATTTAACATACAATACCTTGCACAAATACCTTCAGACATGACCAGTGTATGCCCCAGAACTGAAAGCTTTATGACTCTGCAATTTATTGCACCACTTCTACCTATGCTTGTATAAGAATAATAAACATAACATTACAAGCTGGAGCTATCTAGCTCATAAACAAACTAAACTGCATCAAAATATACTTCCTGACTGCAGCTCACTACACTGCTGAGCAAACTTTCAACCCACATCAATTTGAAGTAGCCTTTCCCTACCCCTGTTTCTGCATATTGTCTGAAAGGTAAAAGAGATGTCAAGAACCAAGAAGATAAGCAGTGCTTCATTTATTTATTTTCATGCTAAAGCAGTTAAGCACACAACTTGTATGCAAGAGATGTCCTGGGTTCCCCTGGTAAACTATCAAGGGGTTTAACACCACTGCACTCTATCACAATACATCAGTGCCTTTCTGGTAAAAATCAATAATGACATTGAAAACTCAACTATATGACACATCTCCCTTTTTGAAGCAGCGTTAACTTGTGGTTTTAACTTTAAAAACTATTTGTAGATGGTGGTAGAGCTTGCTGTGGAAAGGTTAGCACAGGACAGTATGGACTGGACTCAGCTGCTGTTTGCACATTTAGCCTGACAACAGGGATCCCTGACCCATAACAGAGATTCCCACAGACCAGCAGTGCCGATAATAAATGCCAGCTGATTTTCATCTGTGGCACTGGGCAGCATCTCCCATGTTTAATGCAGCAGCAGGAGGCTGCACTTCACACCCCATACTGGAAGGGAGGTTCTCCCAAACATTCTGTGCCCTAAACATTTTGAGAGGATGTTTACATGTAGCACAACAGAGGCAAAATCAAAACAGATGGTGGACAGATGCGAGCAGAGTCAGGAAGGGGAAAACTGCCTGGAAATGTTTTTAGCAGTGTCACTCTCTGGCTTACCCAAAAACACCCTACAGCTGTCAGCAGGGAGTGGCAGAAGTCTTGTGTAACCAGAAAAAGCATCTGCATCACCTACATGGTGTCCCAGAAAAGCCTGAATTTTCACATGTTGATCAAACTACAACCAAACCAAGAGCACCCTTTCCATCCCTCTGTATTCCAATTTCCTGCCCACTTTAGAACACAACAGGTCAGATATGAGAGCAGTAGCTGTAGTCCATGACGAGGGGTGCAGACTTTGCTCTGTGGGAGCTGCAGCACTGCACAAACAGTCATTAATCTTAAATGACTTGTGGACAATTGTTATCCACATGTTATAGATGGAGAGAGAGAAGCAGACAGAAGAGGGTCATGCTTGCAGTTACAGGAGGAAGTCACTGATCTAAGGAGGGATGCCAGAAGAACTACCCACCTGCTCATTCTCAGCTGCTCTGACCTCTGCTCCAGGCTCCCCTCTGAACCCTAGGATTTCACTGCTGATGTACAGCATCTGGACAAAGGAGTTTGGGCACAGGTTATCCACTAGCAATTAGAAAATGAGGATATGTCTTTTAAATGAAATCAACTCCTGTACCAGACAGGAGAAGATAATTTATTTCTCTAGGACAAAACCTTGAATATATCATCCTAGCAGCTTCCTGCATTATGACCCCCATGCTAATCTTATTAAGAGAGAGGTTACTGGGTTCTTTGTTGGTGAACAGCACATTAATAAGATCTCCTTGAAATAATCCCATCTCTAATATGCAGGGAAAATTACATTTTCCAGCATAATTACTATGTCAGTCAAAAATCCCAACTCCTTCATTAATTGCTTTTTTCCAAATTCTAACAGCTTCTTCTCAAGCAGTAAAACTCCAGGAAGAGGAGGGAGCAAGAAATCCAGGCAGTTCCTCTTATTAAGTAAAACCAACAGCAACTCTGGGAGGCTTTGCTTGGATGGAGCCTGTTTTTTTAACAGTGGGAGCAGCAGACATCCCAGCTAGTCAGAAGTAGGTTGCTTTGTTAGGGTGCATCCACTCTCCACATCTCCCCCTCATAACCTCTCCTGCCCAAACCATCTGGGAGTCCTTGGGGCACCACAGAGGCAGCAGAGCTCAACCCCAGAAGTGGCCCATGAAGCCAAACCATGCTCCCTGGGAGCCATCAAGTCTCAGAGAGGTGGCAGGGTCCAGCCCCGTTGTACCTTGAGAGGGCTCTGGAGAAACCAGAGCAGCAAAGCAAGCACAGTAGGTGACACCCATGTCCTTTTACTCATCCCTAAGCCAAGGACCAAGGCAATAACAGGTAGGGAGTTACAAGACACAGACACCTAACCAAGAAAAGCTGTGAGGTAGGAGGTAGGAGGTGAGATGCCTCAGTGAGATGACCTGGCACCTACAGTCCTGCCACCAATTTGCATTCAAAAAGGGCATTCAGGCCCCTTCTTAGATTTGAAGCATTTCTGTTTGGTTTTAAAGAAACACATTTCAAATGTTCCTACATTACCATCTGGTAACAGAATGGAGCTGTCATTCTCTTTCAGAAACTAAACACAGGCAAGTGTGAACAAGAAACCTAGACCTGGCACCTTGTTTGTGTAAAATGCAGCCATAACTACTCCTTCTACTTTCCACTGCAAGAAAAACATAATGCTTTGTCCAAGAATCATATGATAATAAAATGTTGGTCTTCCAGAGTGTCGTGGTTTTAAAGCATTAGCTAAAAAATCTCTAGAAAACTTACTCATTTCTTGCTGTGAGATATGGATTAGAAGAAGAGCAAAACAGGCTTAAAACTTAAAAGGAATAAAGAAAGTTTATTAACAAAACTACAAGAATAAGAAACCAGAATACAACTTCCAGAACTCCTTTTTCCCCACTACCCAACCATTCTCTTGTTCACATGACAACATAGAGCCAAAAAAAAAAAACAAAACCAACAAACTGGTGGTTAAAACAGTCTTAACTTTGCTATAGTCTTTTCATCAGTCTTTGTAGAGAAAAAGAAGTTCTCTTCTGCCAATCTATGGAGTTTCTCACAAGAAAACAATTTTTCTCATGACTTTCTATTTTCCTGATGCCAGCCGCCTGGAAACTCTATCGTCAGTTCACTCCTCCCATTTCACATCACTCTGAGGTGTGTTTTTTGGGCCATGAAGTCAAGGGGTGTCATTTTAAGGATGAGTTATTCAAAGGGAAAAGTCCTCTTCATCTGTTTTTGTGAGCCTCCCTGGAAACAGAAGTTTTCTCTTTGCCTCTTAAGGGCCACAAATCTTCAACTTTTACTTCTCTTTTTCTGTTCCAGCATCTCATAGTTCACAACTACTTCACCATTTGCTTAAATCCACACTTTGAAATACTCTATTCCTCCCAAAGTACTCTTTCATGAATTAAAGAAGTTTTTTCAGAACATTATCATCTATCTCCATAGCTTGAACGAAAGAATATTTCAGCTTATTAAAGTATCTCCTTATTTCTCTCCCCCAATTTCTCTCCCCCATCTAAAGCTTAATTCCTTTCTTCACTGTCTTTGATAGTTTATGTTGTCTCTTTACCTGTTGATCACTTTCTCTCTTCCTCTCACTCTGGAAAAAAAAAAGATTAATCTGCAAGTCTCATCTAGGTAAGGAAAAGGTTAAAATCTTGCCCAGGCTTTACTGTACAAGGCTCAGTGAGACTTCTGAGAGCTCAGCTCCTCTGGGAAGGGGCTCCTGCCACCCCACAGTCCTCATCCCTCCCGCCTGGGAGCCGCTGGAGTCTGGCTCAGCCCTGTCCCCCCTAGGCCAGACGAGGCCACGGGGGGAGTGGGACCAGCCGCAGCTCTGTTACCATCCACAGCCGGAAAACAAAGAGAGACAAAGAAACTACCAGGCTTAGGTCTTAAGGTGGTGTTCATAGGTTGATCTCACTTTTCAATGGTCAGAACTACTGTCAGTTCTCAGAAATGGCCAGTTATTGGGCAGGAGAAAAAACTCCCATCAGTCTCCAGCAGCCTAAACTTCCTTAGGTGTTTCTCTTAGTTTTCTTAAATGCCAATCCATCACACAGAGCCTCTATCAGAAAATGGGGCTTACAATAAAAGGTTTGATGCAAACATGGGAGTCATAATTTGGACTTCAGTAAAATGTTAACAGTTTTGGGTCAGTAATCATTGGGCAGATGCATTGTGCAGGAAACCCAGGTGGAGATCACAGTAGATCACTGCCAGACCACAGAGGGCTTCCTCTTTCCCGCATCCCAAAGGGAATTTAAGGATAACTGGCAGAGCCTTACTCTTAGTTCAGAAGTGTTAGTCAGCTGACACATACCAACTCTTAAGAGTGGCTATATGAAGAATAGTTCTGACACTACATATTCCAATAAGTCTGGGAAAGAGTACACAAGAAGGAACACATAATAAGCACTTACTTGCTAACGGACAAGCAAAAGTGGGAACTTCAGAAAAAAAAAAATTGAGAAAGCAGATATTTGAAGAAAGATAATAAGAAACCAAATTATGCATTTTTAATGAATTTCTAAGAGTGTAAACACAGGAAACAGTCAAAAGATGTTGTGTTAACAACAGAAACTTACCCAGCAACAGAAAGTTTGCCTGCGGGGAAGTATGTGGAGTAAGGGCCCTGAGACATTTGCCCGAGAGGAAAGGAATAAAGGGATTTCCAGCCACTGAGATCTTGGGAAAAGGGAGAGTGAAAGTGGGGGAAGGGAAAGGAGAAGGTGCAGAAGGAAAGGAGTGTTCCCATGTGGCTTTGAAGCCGTTGCACAGGAGAGTGATGTACCCAGATGCCCTCTTTCCATATGCTGTCAGTGGCCTCCAGGGAGTTTGCCATGTAAGAGCAACAATTGAAGAAGGAAAAGCACCAAAGTTCTTGGCCACATTGTGAGCCCTCTGTGAGACCCTCATGACAGACTGACCTGATCACAGTGCTTACTATGGTAACCACAGATCTTAGAGCTGAGCAGCTGGCAGCCTTCTGTACATCTCTGCCTCATTACCACACATGATCCTTCCATATCGGATATGCAAGTACTGACTTCAAATCCTTCATCACACCACATCGACTGCAGGACATTAATAGCTCTAGTTCACCCATTCTTAGGAAAGACATTGCAGAGACAGAAGACACACAGGTCCCTTCTGGAGGACACATAGCACCAAGCCTATTTTCTCCCACCTCTCTCATTTTATAGTCCCCTTTTTCCTCTGCTGATTGTGTTGTTAGTGAGGGCACATGTGGGTGAGGGTACAGAGGTTTCTCAGCAGCAGCCTTTAATCACATAAAGACTTCACACTGAGAGGGCCTGACCCACCCATTAACTTCTCCCACAATGTCCTGTTTTATTACACTATATGGGGAACACAACCCCCGGGGAGAGAAGAGCAGAAAACTCTGCATCAACAGAGTAACTAATGAACATTCCTCTTTCCCTAGCTGCTCAACCTCTGGAAGGCAGCTGAAAAGAGAAACCCAGCTAGGAGGACAAAAATATGTCCTCTGTTTGTTTAGTGAACACAGAAGCAGGTGGCTTCCTGCAGCCACAGGAAACTCCTCATGATTCAGTGAGACAGGTTACAGCCAAGGGATCAGGAAAGCTTCCAGCAGTGACTACACCACCTCACTCCCAGATGCTGCACACACTTGGCTCTTCCTGCCCCACTGATGGGTCAGTCCCTGCTGCTTTGGGAGAACTTCCTTCCTTCTGCTGTTTGATATCTTGCTGTCAGCTGCATCTTTGAGAGACATCCTGAGGAGCTGTCTATGTACTCCAAGGAGTGCTGCACAATTATGGCTGGGATTATTAAAGATATTTTCCCTAGACCTGATACACTCAGTAGCACAAAAAAGATCACCCAGGTCTCAAAAAAAAAAAAAAAAAAAAGGGCCAGCAATGTTTAATGTTTACTGCTATTTGTCATGAAGATATTATTTTTATTTTTTTTTACATTGCTGATATTTTCTTTTTAAAGAGACTGCAGAGGTGTTTTGGCCATGGCCATATTCAGCCAATGCAAGGTCTGAAGTAGGATTTGAATACAGGAGGAAAGCTGTATGCAGGCCCTTATTTCAATTCCTTTTTTGCAGCAGCATATGGATTAGATAAGAGAAATAACAGCCTTCAGCTCTTTGCACACCTGAGTACAGACCCTTTGCTTGGGGAATCAAATTCCTCCAGTTCAGGGGAAATTCTAAGTGTAGGACAGGAGGCATTTAGAGCTTTGTATTGCCATGGCTGCACAAAAGTATTTTGAATATGTCTTGTTTTATGTGCATCTGATTTGTAAACTGCTTACTTAGAAATAAATCTGTGGGATTTGGGTTTTTCTCAGATGGGAAAATTAGGCATTTCATAATGATCAGATTAAGTTAGTGAGAAAAAATTAATTCATTGAAGACTTCATTCTGGCCTGCACCTACTGCAATAGAAACTGACATGACTTTGACAAAGATGCCTCAATGTAAGCTCCCAGATTAACTTAAGTGAGCAAAAAACAAACACAAAATTTTATTTTGGACCATATGATAACAGCAAGAGCAGAGAAAGTTGAAAATTACATGAATGTTTAATATTGAGCACAAAAGAAAAACATTTCCCCGACCTTGTCTTTTATGTATTTCCTTGGCCTTTTCTGAAGCTGAGATCTTGTTCTGCCTGTCCACCCTGATAATCACTTACAATGCACAATTAACAGGAACAGCCTCCCAACCAAATCCCCTCAAATCAAGAGAGCTCACTGGCCAATAATTAAAACAAGTCAGACAATCATTACAGATTTCCTCCACGTCCATACTGACAGGTCACCCTCTGAAAAAGCCCTTGTAACATGCTCTATGTTAACTATGTGCAAAGTGGGTTGAGCAACATTTTAAACCTGAAAACAATGTGCTCATTAAAAAATAGCTTCAGCATCTGAAGGGTCAATCACAATGTGTAGAGCAAGTGTACATTCCGTGCCTGTTCTTGGCAAGGGGTTATCTAGACCATGCCAGAGGATGCTACTTTGGGATGGATGGAGCACTCCTGAGGTCTGCCCAGGATTTACTAACTGGAGTGCTCTCAGGAAATAAAAGAAGTTGCTTCAAAGATGATGTAGGCATACAACAAAACTACAAATTGCTATTAGTTTCCTGACACCTGAGCTACTTTTGATAAACAACTAACATCAAAACGGAAGATAGCTCACACATGCCAGAGGGACTTGCATTTACTGAAACCCTTTGACAAGGCTGCACATTCTGTGTGTTCTGCTGTTCTTCAAAAAGCAGCATAATGACCTTCCTGGCTGCCTCAAACTGATCAGTTGTCCAGCTCTCCACCACGAAACCAGCAGCACAAACAGAACAATTCTTCACTGTGAAGACAACTGACCAGCTGTGGCATCTGTAAACATACTTCAATTATTTTTGTCCTTAGTGGACCAAAGTTTGAACTGGAGCTCCTGTAAAATCTCTCCTCCTCAAAAGCAGTACTGAACAATATAACCAAGAACACACAGCTATAAGAAAAGTGCTATTTACCAGAGAACGTGGCCAAGAAGCTCTCAAATCTTTGGCTTCTGCCAGTCACCTGTAAAAATTTAACAAATATTCCCATTCTCCATTTCTCTATATGTCAAATGGATGAAATATGTCTTCTGGAAAGTGCCTTGAGTTGTGCACACAACATAGAACAAAGTATTGTTACTTTGGTATTTTTGCCACCTGTTGTGAATGCTGATATTCTTTCCTGTTTAATTAACATGCAAAATGTGTGCCTAAGAAGTTTGTAGCATGTAGGCGAGTCTACTGAAGATGCTAGTAGAAAATATACACATGAAGTTTTCTGTTAAATCCAAACATTCATAAAGAAAAATGGCCTCATTAAATCACTAGAATAAGCAATTTATAGGCTGCTTCACATGTACTGCTTTAGAGGAGAGTCTGTCAGAATCATGTTGAAGCTTTCAGTGAGAGCTGTGATTACTGAGCTGTTTATTCTGAAAATGAATTACTACATTGCTTTACTAGAAATTAAATCAAAAGAAAAATTGTCTAAATTTATACAAAATGCTTTTCTCTTAAATGAGAGGAGAAGAGGAAAGGGACTCAGCTTATCTGACCTGTGAGAGGCTCTCACATGTCAGTCCTACAGGAACATCTCAACATCTTTTTGAATAATGAACGACTGTGCTCCCATATTCCATGCTTCCCTATCCTCATGCCACATGCCTGTGTTCTTTCACAAGTGCACTGAAATAAAGATAATGCAACAAACGAGCAATGGACCAGTATCTGAAAAATGGAAAGAAGTGGCTAAAGTAACACTTTTGCTCTTTGGGCCACAAAGTGGCTGGAGAAGCATTTTGTGTGTCTAATGCACTGCAGCAGGCAAAAGATTAATGAAACATGATGCTTCAAAGCCAAAGACATTGCTTATCTTAATTAGATGTTGCTAATGCTAAAGTGAAAACAGAAGCCTGAATCTCCTGTTATGTATTCCTATGGAACTCTTTTCATTAGTTTTTGAATTACACTGTTTTTACCTTAGCATGAAGGAAAGCAGGCCTCTGGTCCAAGTATGGGAAAGCTGATCAGCTCTGCAAAAGCAGAGTGGTGTTTCTAAGTGGTTTTTCTAGGCTATCCTTCCATGAGGAGTGCATAGGAAGCACTGCAGGTCTGTATTCTTGCACCTGAAAACTGCAGAGATGTTATTGCTCAAGTTTCCAATTATTTAGTGCATTTTTTTGTATACCACTTACTACTAAAGCAAAGTGTGCCTTATATAGGAAAAGTGTCATGGGCATTACATGGACCCTGGGAGCTGCAATATTCCTTTTTGAGACATAAAACATAGGATAAGTACTTGCCTGTCAAATCAAGCAAACCACTTGGCTTTTCATGATCCCAGGAAGATTTTGTGCTTGGACTGGTAGACTTTTCCACAACATTTGTCATAATTTGCCATTTTTCTTTCAGATTAAGCAGAAGGGCAAAGCCAAGCTGAACCAAAAGAAAACTTGAGCAGAAATAGAAAAATGTTTCTTCAAAACAGGAAGCTTCCTGTTTAAACAGCCACTCTTCATAGGCATTCTTTGAAAAAAAAAAGCCTTTTAAATTTACTAAAATTAGTTAAATCTTCATTTCCACCCACCCGCATCTGAAGCCATTTCTAATCAAGCTGAGACAGAAGATGGGCAGATGGAAAGTCAATGCATAACCACTCCCCAGTGGCAAAGTTAAGCTATTAACTCAGTACTGGTCTGTGTAGGGTGAGTAGATTGTTCTGGTTCATGATTTATTCTTCTGCTGGGATCCTGTAATCATTTCATTATTGTGAGGAAGACAGCTTTAGTTTGGCTTGGACTCCCCAAAGGCAGTCCAGGTTTGGCAGTGCCCAAAGTCACTTTTGGAAGTTATTTTAACAATAGAGAACATTCTTGATATACAAAATTGAAATCTTTCTGAGTAGGGCTACAAAAGCAACCCATGGCTATAAAAAACAGAATTAGAGATCAATATCAGAAAAATTCAGAGAACTTCATGCAAGCTTTCTGCATGTGTTGCACCAGGTTGTTCAAGCCTCATTTTGTCCTTGTCAGTTTTACTCTGGTCTCTTCAACTTTTTCAGGGATATATGTGATGCTTAGAATAATTACTAACTGGACCCAGGAAAATTAAAATGTGGTAAGAAAGTATAGTTTCTGGCATGCCACAGTACAGGGCATTGCCAACACCCAAATGCCTAGAGGAAACCACACTATGAGATGAGATATTTGTTATATTGCAGAGAGGATTGAG